AAAGAAAAAAAGAAAGAAAGAGAAAGAGAGAACGAAAGAAAGAAAGAAAGAAAGAGAAAGAGAGAACGAAAGAAGTTAACTAAACAGAAGCTTGTCACTAATTCAGTTTTTCTTAATTTTAAACGAGATAACGTTCGATTTTAAATAATACACTTGTACTGTCCAAATTCAAGGCAAACATTGACCGATCTTTATCTGTTATCTACATAAAGCACTCATTTCCCAATCCTATTCAAACGCATTTTGCACCTTTTCCCACATGGCTTCTCATATTCAGGCATATAGTGTAAAATACGGCCACATTTTATCCAACTATTCAAATTAGAGCAAGAATAACGCAGATAAAGCCTGGAGCGAGTACAATATATGTAGATATTTGTACTCTTAGTTTTTTTGTACAGTAAAAATCCGGTTGGGAAAACTAATTTCGTTTTGAAAGCATTCTTTTTGGGAAAAAGTAAGCCCCATATCAAGCTTTACTCTATATGTTAGTGTCGAAGTTGGAGTAGAGAAAGCTCACTCCATATTTATGATCAATTCCATATTTGGATTGTGCGGAAAAGCGGCAAACAAAAAGGCCGTCGTTTTATAACGAATTCGACATGAACATTTTTGAAGAAGAAAAGAAAAGAAAAAAAAAGACAAGTAAAAAAAGAAAAACTTGGAAAATCGAGGAAGGATACGGGGACGATGCTAACTTGTGGGTCTGCCTCGCAAACAACAAACACAGGGAAACACGACACTCGATGTTTGATATGAGTTGGATAATAAATAACTTATTAGACATTTTAGGGTGGAATAAGGGTGGACATTTTTTCTCATCTAATAAGATTTATATATTCATAAATCCATCACGTCCAGATTGATATCTAAACCATTAAAAACACAATATAACACCGAAACAAAGCGGGGCTTGAAGAAACCATTTTACGAATTAAGAGAGAATTCTTTTCGTATTCAAGCGGTGATCGCCAAAAACTATTTTCTTGAAGAAAGGCTGTTGTACAAGGCTAAAATCTCGTTATTCAGAAAGTT